TGACATAGGATAAAACAGGGATCTAAAACCTGCCGCTCCGGAGCCACTACTGGCCCTTTGGATCTTCCACATTGGCTAAAAGTGTTTTATAAAGCAAAAATGAAGTTTTAAAAAGAGATGGAATAAGAAAAGAAAGCTTTAGATATTTTTTCTGATTTTATGGAATTATGGAATAATTATATTTAATTACTACAACAGGATAACATTAAAAGTACCAAGAAAAATGTATTTAGATTCTAAAAATGAATTTAGATTCATTTTTCTTGTGATTAGGATGGAAACAATGTGCAAAACTCAAGACCTTTTTGAAAAAGTTGTGTTTTTCTTTGTATTAAAACCTAAAAGTAAGAATAAAATGGTTGCTCTTTAGAAGTAACAGAATTCCTGAAGTAGCTGTTTATCAAAAATTATAAGATGTCTTTTTTTTTTTCTTTTTTTCAAAACTTCAGGTAATATTTGTGGCTCTCAACAGTTTTTATGTACATAGACTGAGGGCAAAAATGCTCTATGGATTGTGAAAGTTGCAGATTCCTTTAGATTTATTTTGTTTATTCTGATCAAGCCACATCACACCTTTTCTGACTGAAATGTGTGTTACGTCTGTTTTTCTAATAATGTGGCAGGACTAATGATTAGGAAATTATAAGAGAACAGAAAAAAATTATTGAAAGGAAGGAAAATGTATTAGATTGAAACTGGGATCCTTAATAAAAACAGTTTGATGATACAGGGATGAATAGTATGACAGTGGAGGAGTTGGTGGTAAATGTTTTACAGCAAAACGTCTGGGAATCTTTTTGGATGAGTTTTCAATGACAAATATACATGTCCTTTAATGAAAACAAAGTATTTTTATTTTATTAACCTTTTTAGTAAGTAAGAACACAAACACCCTTGACTTTTTTATTCAAAAAACAGATTTTGACATTATATTAATATATGTCTGAAGCCTGGTTAAACCCAGCAAAAGTTTTTCAAGAAAATTTCTAGTTTTTCTTGTTGGGAATAGACCAACATATTTCCTAGACCAACAAAATAGAAAACAATTCAATCCATTAAGTTAGAATGGATCAAGTTAGCTCTCTTCCTTTCTTTCTGTTCCTTTTCCAACTTTTCTTTTCTATTTTTGGTTTCAATAAAACATTGTATGTTTTATTAATTACTGGGTAAGAAGAAAATAAATCATTTAACATAAAGTTAGTTTGCATTTCTGAATGGGGAAAAAATAAATCAGGCCCAGAGTACTTACTCTCCAAGACCCATTTCACTTCTGAGGACCTGAAAATTTACTGTTTGGTGAATTTAGACTGTGATGCAGAAAGTTTGGACACCAGAGGTGTAAAAAGTTAAAGATAAGACTTTATTTGAAGGGGGTTGAATAAGACTGACATGACACTTTCATAAACATGACATAACGCATGAACATGAATAAGCCTTCATGAATATTTATGACTGTTGTCATAAAGCATCTTTCGGTAAATTATGACACTTTTAATACAAAGTTGACATTATTCAAAATGTCTTTGCTATGACAACTTGACATTAACCAGGAAATCATTACTGTTTAAACTTTACCTTTAATAACATAAAGTTACCTGATTTTTAAA